TGACCCCCTAACTCTAGCACACTCTAATCTATTTTAATTCTACTTTATCTATATTTATCTTTTTTTCTTCTTTTTTTTTAAACAACAAAAAACAAACAAACACTAGCTTTCTATTTTTTCTATTCCATCTACTTGTTTTTCTTTGTGTGTGTGTGTGTGTGTGTGTGTGTGTGTGTGTGTGTGTGTGTGTGTTATATATATACACATCTTGCTACGTGTACTGTGTTGGGCTAACCGAGACTTGTCATTTGCACTTATATATTGTTGCTCTTTTGTTAGTTTTGACTGCTTCTATTGTCCTCATTTGTAAGTCGCTTTGGATAAAAGCGTCTGCTAAATGACTAAATGTAAATGTAAAGGAGATTCGTGTGAAAAGGCAGGCTTGCTAAATGTTCTATTTATGTTGACAAACTGCAGATTATTTATTTAATAAGTCAAGTGGAAAAGGCAGTAGTGGAAGTATTGGCCTAATATGTTGTAAGTATAACATACTTCAAACTGCACACTGCGTAATTGAAGTTAGTAGGCTATAATGCATTAAGCGGCCACCAGGTGCCAGGCCTGCATCACAAATACACATGACACTTCGTCAAAATACGCGTTACATCAACAGATTCAAATTTCACAATCAGACATTTGTAGAATTGATAACGAACGCTATAGGAGCCTGCTCTGAAAACAGAAAGGAAGTCACACGTTTAATATTTGTATAAACACTTTGACTAAAAGTAAAATCAGCCAATATATTCACAAATGTGTTTAAGGAAATAGTTTTATGTAATAGCCTAGCCTACCAATAACATAATAACAACATCCCTATCAGAAAGAATATTTCTCTGTTTGTATTCATGAACTTATGCTTCTTGCCTGTGACTTATATTCCAGTCAGTATAAACAGTGTCCCTACCGTCTGTCAACATGTTGAGGGTCTGATAATTAAAGGTCAACACTAAGGGCATTGTGACCTATGGATCAAATGTGTCTCGCCAGCAGCTCACTATCGCATACTTGGACATACAGTACTGTATGTGTCCGATGTGACAGACAAATTAGCATTGTGCTCCTTATAGCTCCTCATTTCATAAACGACTGAAGGCAGCGAGCATGAGCTCAGTCACATAACGAAGGCAGAGACAGGTGATAAACGGGGCCTTGTCTTGGCAGCACAACAGGCTTGACAGCTTTGTAGAGCTGCGAGAGCATTCCATGCATTCCTCAGTGAGCCATGCCATGCCTTCTATGGCAAGCCGTTTTAGCTTAAAATATCCCCAGCCTTACTCGTCGTAATTGCATTTTTACTAGTAACAATTCAATTAGAGAGCTCTACAATTAAATTCTTACTAGTAACAATGCCAGTTAGAGAGCTCTCTAATTCAGTTCTTACTAGTAACAATTCCAATTAAAGAGCTCTACAAATCAATTTTTACTAGTCATATGTCTCCATTGACTTCCATTCATTTATAATTACAGAGCTCTACCTCAGAACTTTTACTAGTAACAATTCCGATTAGAGAGCTCTCTAAATCAATTTTTACTAGTAATAATTCCAGTTAGAGAGCTCTCTAATTTAATTATTACTAGTAAAAATACAATTACAGAGCTCTATAATTCAATTTTTACTAGTAAAAAACCACATTAAAGATATGTTTAATTGCAGAGCTCTGTAATCGAATTAAAGAGCTCTCTAATTCAGTTCTTAC